TCCGGGTTGAAGACGCAAGACGCACAGCTGAAGTAGCACGTCCGACTCAAACAGTACCGAATGAGCCGGTTCAACCTACTGTGGAAGCTGTTGAGGATTACTGAGGATTCTGATGAATGAGTTGATGATATACTGTGCAGCCTGAGGCACGTACTGGAAATATGCTTATTAGTGGTGCTTGCCAAAGACAAAGCATCACTATAGATAATTATAATTATAATAATTTATAATTTATGCATTTAGCAGACACTTTTATCCAAAGCGACTTACAGTGCATTCAGGCTATACATTTTTTACCAGTATGTTATCTTAAAGAGAAGAAGTTTTACAAGTAGTTCTCTTGCATACTTCTTCTTCTTCTGGACAATTTCGGCACACGCTACTCCTGCCGTCAACTCAGCCGGCTCATTGAGGAGAGGTGTGCTGTATCTTTTCTAAGCAAAAAACCTACTACTGTTCGCACAGCAGACGAAAAAGCAGGCAAAAAACCCCATAGACTTACATTGATGAAATGTTCATGAATTTTAATCTCAACTGTCACTTTCTCTCTCACACACACACACACACACACACACACACACAGACACACACACACACATGCTCCATAGTAACGATCTGTGACAACTATCAAACTATCAATACGATAGCAACCACCCAGAACTTCCTAGAAACACCCTAGCAACCATCCAGGTTACCATAGCAGCTGCCTAGCAACCACCAAGAATATCCTAGCAACCGCCTAGCAACACCATAGCAACCACCCACAACACCCTAGCAACTGCCTAGCAACACCCAAACAACCACCCAGAACACCTTAGCAACCGCCTAGCAATGCCTTAGCAACCACCTAGAACACCTTAGCAACCATTTAACAACATCCTAGATACCACCTAGGATACCCTAGGAACCGCGTAGCAACAACTCATAATCAGTGACGTGGCGGACGGGCACCCCGCAATAACCTCCTCGTGCTGGGGTGCGTCGTATCATGTGTCGACGATAGATATTGTCAAAAGCATCAAATATTGT